ACCCAAACAGGTACCGTAGGGTTCTGGACACGAGAATATTCCCCTTGTGACTTTTACAGATATCACAACTCCCACGAATACGGTCAAACGCCACGAAAACTGTAAATGGAAATGAGCGATTTTGTTGAAAAAATATGAAATTTTCTGACAGCCTCTTAATAGGGAGGTTTTTTTTACCGAGTTCGCGAACATCATTGAGATCACTTTTTTTTCTAATTACACACGAGAATTTTTACTGACATATCTACCACAACCTTACTTTTGAGACTAAATGCAACACTCTACTAGTTTCATATTACTCATTTCATCGAAGTGTTTCCTAATTGGGAATAAAGTTTAATTCAGTTACGTTCTATTAACTTCAGCCACAAAATGTAGCTGTCCTAAACCAGCTTTCCAGAGTCAGTCGTTGAAAATAGTCAGTGCTGTAGGTTAGGCATTGCGCAGAGTCCCAGTCAATGTTGTGGTTGGTAAGTCGATGGAGTTCAGCAATGTGATTGCTGACATCACCTTTCCTCGTCGCCCGTCTGTGTTCAGTCAGTCTTGTTGTGAGGTTTCTGCCAGTCTCACCGATGTAGGAGGCTTGGCAGTCGGAACAATTGATCTTATAAATATAAGATCAATTGTTTCATAATGCCACAAGACCGAGTAAATTAAAATATTGCAAATTAAGTAGTTATTGGTCATCTCGAGGATGAATCTAACGCAGGCTTTGCACAGGTGCTAGTTACACTCAACTGCAGTGTACCAGAGCATCATGAATTTTTCTGTTTGTAGACTCCCTGTATACTATCAAATCTGAATATTGTCCTTTTGAATTGTTATTAAGTACATACAATAAATTAGATTTACATTATGAACCTGGAAAAGGCTTTTTAACTCACCCGTCTTGGAAGGAAACGATAGTGTAGGCGGCCTGGATTAACTTTATGTAATTGTAAAATTTGCCTCCCCCCACAGTTCTAAACTCCCGATTTCCATGTTTCGTTGATTGAAAACAAAACTGTTCCATTACTTCTAGTCGTCGAGAAACAGAAGCGAAGAAAGTTCACAAAAGACAAAAAAAAGTTATAAAGGCCTGGGGAGTTTTTTTTTTTAAAGGAACCTGTCATAATTTGCTCCTTACTAAGATACTGTACAGTAAATGTGTTGACTATTTCTTCTTGGTGTTGTGTCCGTGAAAATGTAAGTAGATATATTAGGTCATGTAGACCCAAGTAGATCATAGGGAAGCTCTTCCCTGCTTATAGTCGTCTTCTCTTTTCCCCCAAGAACTTGTTTTGTTCAGAAATCAGTTTGCAGAAATATGCTTCAACTTTCACTGTTTTGTGTATTGACCCGAAAGCAAAAAAACAAAGACCACAAATCTTAATTTTTTTTTAATTTGCAGAATTGTGAGTATCGTGTCTTGTCTTGTGTCGTCAGTACGTGTGTCTGTTTGTTTATTGTATATATGATTTAGTCTGCCTTGGTATATTTAGTGGCTATTCCACAAAGTGAATGAAAGAAAATTTATTGGATCTGCTTTGAATAGTATGATCAAAACTTCCCGAATCAGTGATCACGACAATTGATATCCGGGAAACTAGTAGGGCTTTAAGCCAGAGCTGTCATATTAAGTTTTATGTCAAAATAAACTATTACTCAATAGTTCGTGTACAGTCAGAAACCGCCTCATCTTAGTGTCTTTGAAATATCAAGGGTTGCACCTGGGTGGAATTCAGCGGTCTAACGTCAGGCAGGCGCATAGGGATCAATTCTGGCAAGCCGCGCGTCAAATTTCCCGCGCAAAGTTTCAGAGGAAAAGATAAGAAACAACCCCTGTCTCGCAAAAAAGTTAAAAGAAAATCGAAACGTACTACCTCATCTTTGTGTCTTTGAAATAACAAGGGTTGCACGTCAGGTATATGCGAGGGGATCAATTTTAATTTAGCCTATCTTCCTTCATCTTAAGTGGCAAAATGAAAGAGGGATGCGAGGAAAGACGTTCCATTGAGCATCGGTCGCAGAGAAGAGACTTAGAGCGTCAAATCAGCGCTGCTCGTGATGGAAGGGGTAGGGTGGTATGCATCGTTTGTCCGGCGAAGACGATTGACGGCCTCAAGTCGAGATACCTACGTGTTCCAGGCGTGGCGTAAAACAAAAATGCACGGTGATATCGAATAGCCGATTTAGTGTTTAGTAAAGATACGCTGGTCAGAGCGGGAAACTGAAAGAGGAACTCGGTTATGATGATAGACCTGGCTTCCTTTAAGAGGCCCTCGCAGCCGATTTTTGGGTCAAATCCCTTAGAACGGTTGAGAATAAGACAAACTTTCCCACAGCCTTCTCGAATCGGATTTACTGCAGAGGGTATTGCGTGCGAGTAACAGCTGGCAGACCCAATAAGGGTAGAGTTATGGGCACGAAATTACTATCTTGAGAAACGAAAACTGCAATGAAACCTGCCAAGAATTCCGTCAAACGCTTCGTGCTGCACACTGTAAAAAGAGCGATGTTATTTTTTTTTTGGTAATTTCTTAATTTTTTTTAGCATTTTTCAAAACATTACTCTACTTACAATACACTAGAGGACTCAGTTACAGGACGTTGCTTACAATAGTTTACTGAGAACACACCACAAACAAAGTATAGTTTACAATAAACTTGATTACAGCAGATGACTTACTATCGATTACTTCCACTACCTGCACGATATACTCTCCATTTACATTACTTAACGACATATTACACTCCATTCAATACGTTACGTAAATTACTTACAGTACCTTAATAATGGTATATGGCAAAATTGTGTGCTTTACAATAAAATTGACTTCGTATGCTACTCTACACTGTTTTGACGACACCCATCCCACAAAACAATATGTGGCAAAAGCTTATTCCATTTCTGAAAATGTTTAGCTAATTTATTCCGTTTTGTTGCTATCTTCATCTCTACCTGTTATATCTCCCCGATCTTGGTCTTATAAACTCGAATAGAAGGACTTTTAGAATTCAATTTACACTTGTATGTATAAAATTTTGCTGTTAGAGCGATGTTATTGAAAAAATGTATAATTGTCTAGCAGCCTTTCGAGAGCTCACTCCTTCCCGCCTATCATTCCCAATCACAATAACCGTTATCTGGAGCTTGGATTCAAGATTACCGGGGACCTTTCCGAGTCAATGATTTCACAGGGTTAACCTAAGAAAGCCTACGCCCATTAGGAGGGGCTGCAGGGAAAAATTTCTATCCAGTGGATTGCGTAGGGCATTTTGTTAACACTTATACACTGTTACTATACGGTCTGTTATTCTGTGAGCACTCCTCCACCGTAGCCCCACAAACAATTCCTTAAATTCGTCTGTTTTTGTTCTTTTTTGGAATGATTATGTTCGTTACTCGCATATTCTATAAAAGCTGTTGAAAATGATATCAATATAAAACTTAGTCTACCATGCCTACATAGTAGACGATATAGAAAAAATGTTCCGTTCCGTTTATAAAACATGTCTCTTTCATTTACGTCCAGAAATAGTAAAATCTAAGCAAAGTGAAGCTGATAACCTTTTCTCTATTTCATCGTATGTATATTGTCTCGTAAAGATCCGATGTGTAGTTACCCTAAATAACGTAACTCGTGCATTGCCATAAAACCAATTATCCTATGCACTCTGGCGAGAAAATCAACGTCCTGCCATATAAATCTATCAACATGTGGAGTTTCAATGTGCACAAGGTCACATCCAAATGGACTATTTTTGGCAGAATAAATTTTTTCATCACTCTAATGCGGACAATTTATCGTATTTATAAAACGCATCGCAAAGCCTGCCATTTTTGAATTTGTTCATGAACTTAAAGAAACTCGAACTAAAAGC